CTGTGGTATCACCATGTTTCCTCCCGGAGCAGTGCAGTAAACTGTTCTTTTTATGCAAAGAAGGAAAAAAAACACTTTGTATTTGTTTTCTTTTCATTTCTTGGCAAAATACGAACAGTTTACTGCACTGCTCCGGGAGGAAACATGGTGATACCACAGTTATTTGTAGTTGTTTTTTTTGGTAATACATCTGTTAGAGGATGTTGAAGCAAAGCAGTAGTGAAGGAAGGAGTATAAAATGAAGCAAAAGGGAGAAACGGATGAAAAGGAGGAGGAAGTAAGGAGGGGCAAGTCTCTATTTCTTTATAAGCTACCAGGGATAAACTCACAAAGCAAATGAACAGGAGAGAAGAGGGCTGGAGTACTACTAAGATGGGAATATTCAACCAGAACCATGATATTAATAATAAATAGAATATTAATTAAGAATATTAATTATTATAAGGATAATATTACAGAATAAATCTCTTTTTATATATTTTTTCACATTTTTTTCTCTGTTGAAGTACAGTGATCTCCTCAGAGCAGAGCAGTGAGGATTCAGCCTGCGCTGGCTCCGATTGGCTGTTGCATATGACATCACAGCTAATGGCGACCAGATAGACATGCATCGCTTCCTGCCCCTCCCCACCTGTTTCCTATCCAGACAAGAAATCCTGGTGTTGCCACGGTAACCGGTAGCGGGTAACGCGGGAGGTCTGCGGAGAGAAACATTCTGCGTGACTTTTCAGCGCCGCTGAGTTCCAACCGCGCGGCGCCGCGTGGGCGAAGCGTACCTGCATCATAGCCGACCGATGACCATGACGTCCACGACCTCGCCCTTGTGCAACTCGACGTACTGCTCCGTCTTCGGGGGCAACATGAGGAGGCCGTTGGCGCTACGCATCGACATGAGCCGGCTGGACACCTGGTTTCCTGGAGGGAAGAATTTAAAGGTGCACAGATCGTGTGTGTGTGTTTAAGCAGGTTTTACGTGTTTTTTTTTTTAATTGAAGCACGGTCACCTAGCTCTGGCAGCCATCTTGAATCAATTCTACTCTAGTAATTAGATGTTAATGTTCATCCAATGATTATTTCCTGAGAAATATTTATATCATTGATCAAGCAGTTCGTGGGACATTTTGCTAACACAACAGACAAATACACACAAAGACAAGTAAAACGTTATGTCTCTTTCACATTTAGCGGCAGGTGACAAATATGTCACTCAGGTGATTTCATGAAGCAGGCTTATTTTCTGACAGCAAATACGTGCAACAATGACAATCTAAAAAAAAAAGTTAAAAAAAAGTTAGGAATTCTTCCTTTTACTTGGACTTATATTTCTTCACAGACAGCGTGAATCCAAAATATTTAGCTTGTCAAATTTTACTTCCTGTCAGGCTGCAACAAATTCCAAAAGAATTAGAAGGAAGGAATAATAAAAAAATATATAATATAACAATGCTCCTATCATTGTTGAAAAGTTCAGACACCGTGGGAGCCTTTCCCATAGAGGAAAAGGAGCATCCAAACTGGTGTCAGCAACAAGTCCGACAGCCCGGTTCTGTGACAGTCTGGGCTTGGATCGGTTCTGTGACAGCAGCATTAAAGCAGAAAAGTCTGAAGTCAGGGACGTCCGAGATGTCGTAAAACAACATTCTGCTCATACTCCAAAGGTTGAGGAAGAAGAGGAGACAGGTTCTGGACCGACACGCCTGCAGTCCTGACCCGACCCAAATATGCAATGAGGACAATAAGACACGTTTACAGGAAGATTGACACTCCACATCCATAACAGAATTTGCTCCTCGTAAATAACTTTTTTTTTTGAGAATTAAAAAATAAAATGGCACATAATTAGGGTAGATTAAATGATTTATCCGATACCAGTTGGCCCCGGTTGTCATGGTTACGTGCATTACCTGTGCTCTGTGCCCAGGGCAGAGGTTCCTGATGATGCCAGGTGAGGATACAGCGATGGTACTCTGGTCTGGGATCCAGCTTCACGTCACAGGACAGCTGAACCATTGACACAGTAAAAAATATACTTTTACATAAAATATTCTTGAAATATTTGTTAAATAAAAGCACCTTTATTCACAATTCTGCCAATAAAATGTGACTTTTGAAGTAAACACTGCAGCAAATACAACTTTAAAGTGAATTTATAAAATAAATTGAAATTATAAAATGAAATTGAACTTTTGCATTATTTCAAATTACAATTGTTTATTTAATTTCTCGTACAGTTTGAGTATGATGAAGCAGCATTAGGTTAGATAGACATCAAGTTGGTAATAATGTAAGAAAAATCACGTTTTCGATTCCTGATGTACTTAAACTTCACTCTTTTTCATATTTTTATGATAATACGTAAAACAAAAGCATCTGTTTGCATATAATTATTTTATTCCAGTGACTCTTAACACAATTTAAACATAAAAAATTTACAGTTTTTTCAGCCAAATGACCAAGAAAAGGTGCTCAATAAAATCCAAACACAGCTGTAATCATAAAACGTGCATGTCTCTTACCCGAGCTTTAATAATAGTTGGTCTAGGGTCCAGAATGCCTTGCATCTTCCTCAGAGCAGGAATCACAAACAGGTTACACGTCACCACTGCAGACACGGGGTTACCTGCAGGCAAGAAGAGTTACAGAAACATAAACTCTGCAAACGTTCATTATTATTTTTCCAGGTGTTCAGATGTCGACTGCACTGTTTTCAAAATAAGAGCGACAGCTAAATCGTCAAAGTTTAGTCTTTAAAAGTAAAACTTTTAATTCAGTGACTGAAGCCGAACAGATTGGGTTTCAGAGAACTGGACCAGGTCCAGCAGAAACACAAACCCAGACAGTGACGTGGCTGATGGGAGTACCTGGCAGAGCGAAGATGAGTTTCCGTGTTCCATCGATGTCGACTGTGGCGAAGGTGGTGGGAAGCCTGAGAAACAGAAACGAACGAAGCATTTGTCATCACAACATTGCATCCAGGGGCTGGAAATACACCAGTCATGGTATTACTATGACAATATTTGCATTATTCAAAGTTTAACAGGAAGAAATACTTTGAATACTTTTTTTAACGTGGAAAATTGTTATAAATTGACCACATTTGTTGCCGCTTGCACTTTGTGTTGCTTAGAACAGCAAATGTGCTGGAAGCTTTAAATGTAATTGTTGTAAAACCTCCTGAAAAGCTGAAGAAATACTATAAATTAAAAATACATTTTCATTTTAATGCTCTCCTTTCGTTGATAACTTACCCTGGCTTCATAAAAACTCGCCCAAAGTGGATCTGGGCGTGAAGATCGATATCCAGCACCTGCTTCAGGTAGTCCTAACGCACAAAGAGCAGGAACGTTTTAATTTAAATAAAGCTGCAAGACACAAACACAAATCAGTTGGATATCAACGAGGCCACATGTGGAGGAGAGGGGTCACCTTCTCTCCCATGGACACGCCCCCTGAGGTGATGATGACATCAGCGCGGCTGATTCCCTCATGTAGCGCAGACAGCAGGTCGTCAGGGCTGCACACAAACCAGACGCGGTTAGCTTCATTCAGTCCAAACTGTCACTTTTTTCCCAGCACTCTGAGGGAATCTTACTTGTCTCCAACGATGCCGAGGTTGATGGTGGGGTACCCGTGCTCCTGGATGGTAGCCAGAAGAGTGGAGCGGTTCGAGTCTCGGATCTTCCCAGGATGGAGATCATCCTCTGGATTCAACAGCTAAAGACAAACAACATGAATCCAAAAGAGGCTCCGAAACGTCTCGGTGCGTTTGCTTCCCTTTCTGTGTTTGTACCTCGTTTCCAGTGGACATGACGGCCACCATGGGGAACTTGTGCACGCTGACCTCCGTCACTCCCACCGTGGCCAGCAGGCCAATCTCAGATGGGCCCATGTGTGTCCCTTTAGCCAACACACACTCCCCCCGCCGGATGTCGTGACCGATCGGCCTGCAGACAGAAAAAAACGCATTTAAAGATAATTAAAGCGAACCAAACGGTTGTGAATCAGTCCTGACCCACAACCCGACAGAAACACAGAAACATTTCTGTGCTGGAACAGAGTTGTCAAAATAAATAAATAAATAAAAATCAACAGATGGGAGTTTAATAGTTCCAAAGTACTGAAGAGTTAAAAGTAGCAAAATGGATAGCTAAAGGTAGTAAAAGGCTAGTTTAAAGCTAAAAATTACAACGCAAGGTGAAGCTAGCAAAAAACTTGCTGAAAGTAAAAAGCTAGCTAGAAACTAAATTTAGTAAAAAGAAGGCTGATAGTGAAAATAATCAAAAGTCTAGTAAAAAGCTAAAAGTAACTAAAAGCTAGCCAAAAACTCAATGTATCAAAAGTCCAGCAAAATGTTAAAAATAGAAAAAAGCTAGGTAAATGCTAAAAGTAGCAAATGGCAGACTAAGAGTAGAAAAAGACAGAAAGACAGCAAAAAGCTAATTGTAATTAAAAAAAAACTAAAAGCTAAAAACAGCAAAAGGCTAAATAAAAGTAGCAACGGCGAGCTAAAAGTATGAAAAGGCTAAATCATCTTAATTAAAAGCTAAGAAGACAAAAAACTCCTATTTTTTTCTGGAAGCCATTCGTTTTAATTTACCTGATGTCCTGTCCGGGTCGAGCCTGGACCATAATCCTCACCTCCAGCTCCTCTGTGCCCTGTAAAACCCAGGAGACCATTATCACACTCTGCCCAACGCAGAACCCAAAAACAAAACCGGATCATCCAGAGAACATCTGACGTGGGGTTCTTACATCCTCAGATTCTCTCAGCAGCTCCGTATCTTCTACCTGGACCACGGCGTCGGCTCCGCAGGGGATCGGAGCGCCAGTCGTCACCCTCATCACCTGACCCGGCATCACCGTGTGGGTCGGCTGCAGAACACAGCATTGTCACTCTTTGCCAACTTTCGTCTCCAAACTTCTACCTCCTTTGAGTAAAAACTTTTGTGTATTTACAAAAAATGAAACTAAAACATCAACCAATTAATAATAAATATCACAAACCCCAAAAATTTGCATTGTTGCTAATAAAAGGTAACACGTTAATTCCACCTGCAGCTATCAGATGAAGTTAATTTGTGACATTTGTGTTAACGGTTAAAAATGACATTAGTGCTGACCTGTTGTCCAGCCTGCGACTCCCCCACAATGAAACGATCTCCGGGGCCATCAGCAGCTGCACGTCAACAACAGCCATCAAGTTAATTATGGGAATTAGATTAAGGTTATTGATCCTGATATGATGCAATGCCTGATACTGTGTGAATGGTCTTTGATGCGTCGATCACCTGATCAATCGACTCACCTCGAACGGCGTAGCCGTCCTTAACGGAGGCGGGAAACGGAGGAAGGTTGTCTTTGGCATAGATGTCCTGAGCGAGCACCCGACCCAACCCGTCTGCAGAGAACAGCAACTGATTGAATTAGAAGGTATTAAAATGATCTGGATTCAATTGGACTGATTGGAATTAAATTGTAATCTTTGCATCTTACTGTAATGAAGTGAACTGGGCTGAGCTGAAATGTGCTGGACTGAATCAGACTGTAATTCTCTACAATTCTGACTGTAGAGGATTAAACTGGACTGTGTTCATTTTTTATTTTGATTCTTACTTCATACAAGGTTGTCTGGAAATCTGTAAAGTGTTACCAAAAAGGTCATAACGAATACAACAAACGAACAGAACCCGTCTCTGTGAAGACCCACCTCTGTAGTTAATGACTTCGATTCCCAGAATAGGCGTCATCTCCAGAACAGTGATGAAAGCTTTGTCCATGGACGTCAGCGGGAAGGGCGACATGCGATGACGGCGCGCCACTTTCCTGATGTCGACTGCGCTGTGGCCTGAAAACACGCCGAAACAATCACTGAAAGGTTTGAGGATATGTGAAAAATTAATCTTTGATTTATTTATTTTACTTACTGGCTCTCAGGATGTTCTCATTGCTGCCGCAGCGTGACTGAACCTGCAGAGAAACAAACATTCTCGGTTTTTATTTAATGGGAACTTTTAAATGCTGGTTTAAAGCTTTAACTGTTGCTCTGCACATATAAACATTATTTATGTTTTTATTCTGGGCGCTAATGATCTGTTTTTGGTCAAAATTAATACCCCCACCCCCAAAAAATAACAAAAAACTGCTGCGTTCATCTAACTGTGGATAAAGAGCATAATTTTAAAAGATTTAAACATGTTTTTTGTGACATAATGCGACATTCATATGGACCTTCCATTGGCTGCCACTAGGTTCACATGGCACCCGACCTTGACTGTCCTCCTCGCAGGTGATGGGTACACTAAAGAGGGTGCATCATGACTCTCTTTAGAGATTGGCCCGGCTGAGTCCCAAAAGTCAAAGCGTCTGGCCCCAGAGGGGGTGCCACAGGTTCTCCTTTGTCCTGGCAAGGTTTCCTGATGCATACGCTGTTTATCCGCCATAGTTTGACTTTGGACCTCCTTGGTCTGACCTGTTCTCTTAAGTTTCCCAGGGCGGCTGTGGCTGAGTGGTTAGAGCAGTCGTCCTCCAATATAAGAGTTGGGGGTTCGATTCCACCAGCAGTCACCTGCATAAGTGTCCCTGGGCAAGACACTGGACCCCTCATTGCCTCCGATGTGTGTCCTATCGGTGTATGAATGTGATAAAGTGTGCAGCTGGTGATTGTATGACAAGCCATGTTGCCATATAATTGGCTTGCTGTATTAGTCTCTACAGATTTAGATTATCTTTGTAGAGATCTAGTAGAGTGCTGTATGAATGGGTAAATGAGGGCATAGATTGTAGTGTAAAGCACTTTGAGTATCTTGATAAGATATAAAGGGGCTATGCTAGTACAGTGCATTTACCATTTTCCAGTTACCATGGGTGACCCTACATACAGACAGCATGGGGGGGGGGGGGGGGTCACCTGGGCTCTTGTTCACAAGTGATGGTAGGATGGAGCAGGAGACGGATCAACGACTGGGTCTCATTATCGATAATGAGGGTGTTGCTTTGGTCAGTCATAGTGAAGAAAGAGTTGAGTCGAAAGGCAAAGCTCTTGTTTTACTGACCGTCTACATTAGAGCTGTCAATTCTAACCCGAGAGCCCGGCCTGACCCGGATTAGGGCCGGGCCATAATAATGTGCAGGCCGGGCCGGTGTCGGGCTTTTGACTGCGACAGCGAACGCGTGCGGCTGACGATCCAATTATATGGCAACATGGCTTGCCATACAATCACTAGCCGCATGCGGCCATTTGACCATGCGCTGGCCAACCTTGAAAAAGGTAAAAAATAAAATTTAAAAAAGTTCAGTTAAGCTTCAGATGGGACTATACTGTAAAGGAAGTGATCCATCAGCCCAAATGGACGTTCATTCAGCCGCTGCACTCAGCGGACGCGCGTGGCTGACAACCCAAACAGGTGAGATCACAAAACAAACATGTCAGAGCAGGGTCCGTGTCTGAATAATGCAGAATGCAGGCAGAAACAGGGATTTAATAATACTGTGCCTCTATTGTCATCATCGTATGTTCCCATACAATGGCGAAATTGGTTCTCTGCATTTAACCCAACCACCACCCCCTCAGCTCCGATCTTTTGCCCCATTAGCTGCGATCAGTCAAAGCTTAATTAAAAACGTTGAGGGGGTTGGGGGGGGTTCGGGTTCTGACCTGTATTTACTGTTAATTTGTCGGGTTGGGTGGGATTTGGAAATGATGGCTTCGGGCTGGGGCCAGGTCGAATTTTTTGGGCTTGAATGCAACTCTAGTCTACGTTCCAACACTCACCTGTGGTCATGAGGTCTGAATCATAACTGAAAGAACAAGCTCCAGGATACAAGCGGCTGAAATGAGCTTCCTGTGTACGGTAGCCGGACTCAGCCGTAAAGATGGGGTGAAGAGCTCCGTCATCCAGAGGGAGCTCGGAGTAGAGCTACCCCACAAAATCCCAACCTTAAACATGTGATGCTAACTTTATACACTCCACAAAGTAAAACAAAAATGTAAAACTTTGAAATAGTGTTAGCAGCAAAAGGTACCAAAAAAAAGTTTTTGTTCCCAATTTAAGAAAATTTGTGTATAGCATCTACTTATGACAATTCCAGCAACATTTGAGTTTCTTTGCATTTTTAACAGCCTGACATGAATTTTATTTTTGGGACAATTTCATACGTGAATGTACCACAACTGATAATCCTATAAATAAATATCAGTGTTGTGAAATCTCACAGTCCCATTCATTCACATTCAATTCCCAAACAACACACAAGTCCCGTAACTTTTAATTTGGTAAGGCATGACCTTTAATACAATCTTGGAATTCATATTCATATTTAAAGATTTAAAAGAATGGGAAAATATGGGAATTGGGTCTAAAAAAAAAAACCCAGCAATGATCTGAAGTGAAAGAAAATTTAAGAAAATGAGCAGAAACTCTAATAGTGCAGGAATTGTCCATAATAGTTTAATTTGATGTGGAAAGAAAATTTGTGATTTACAAGCTCCATGAATCCAACAAAGCAACACAGGAAGTTCAGAGGTCATGTAATGTCACAACTTTATATTTGCGTCCATGTTTGGAGGAGATTTCTTTTTTTGTTTGTTTGTGTGCAGGTTTGTGTGTACCTTAGGTGTCGGGCATGAAGCGGTGGAAAGGCGGGACGTTGCCTGTGTTGCCCGCGGTGACTCAGAGGGGGTGGAGCTTAAAGAGGCCGAATCTCGAGGAAGCACCTGAACGCCTCGAGAAATGATCGAGTCTGGGATCTACACACACACACACACACACACACACACTTAATGCTAATCCAAGAACGTCATCTAAAGCTTCGACTTCAAACAAACTAGCTTCACCTCTCGTATACAGAACTGTGCAAAAGTCTCAATCAACCCCTCACTTCTTTACATTTTGCCAGGAATACAAGCAGCAGTTTCTTGAATTGTGCAAAATAAATGAAAAAAAAAACACATAAAATATTTAAAAAACTGAATTCTAACAAGTTTTGCAGTCAAAATTCAGTCTGTTCAGCTTTACTCACCAACGCAGCCTGAGTTCTCGTAAGTTTGTTTGTAATTTCTTCAACGTTAGCAGAGCATTATTTTGGGGAGAATTCTGATTTCTTTGGCAATTAAATCAATTCTACCGTCTTTCCTCATGATCCCACAATTACGAATATTACAGATATTTGCTGCAGAACAACGTTTAACAAACTCATTCTACTATCCAACAACTAGCAGGACCTCATTTATCACAGAAATTACAGCTTTCTTTATGCTCAAATCACTTTTCTTTTGTTTTTGCGTGCAGTTTTCTTAAAATGTTCACAATATCAAAGGTGGCATGAGAGAGCGGCAGTGTGTGCTGGAGTCTTTCAAGTGTTGACTTGTGTTTGGAGCGGGCACAATCAGGCATCAGTGTGTGGCACATTCACAAAGTTAGTTTTGAAAACAAAAATTAAAATGACAGGAAGTTTAACTTCAGTCCAAAAACATGCATGTTAGGCTGCCTTCAGGTTAAGGCCTGCCTTACAGAAGAGATCTATGATCTCAATGGGATTTGCCTGGTTAAATAAAGGTAAACAAATACCAACACTTTGGATTTTGATGCAACCTGTTGTACAAATGAAAGCAATATACATTTAAATCAACAGGTCTACAACGAGACATGGCATTGAAGCTATCGCAAAGACAACAAAAACAACGTCTCAGGCAATGGTTTAATGTTCGCTGAGTTTTTTAGAAGCAGTTTTTAGAGCGCATCCAGAGAACCAGGAGCTGCTGAAACCAACAACTGGATGCAACAAGACTCCTGGCAGCGGCACTTTTCAGCTGAATATTTGATGAAACAGGGAGAAGTGAACGGGTGTGAACGTCTCACCTGATGCTCATGAGTACAGGTGAAATGAGCGGGAGGGGTGGGTGTGTTTCCAGGCAGGTAGGGGGTTCCTTTAGCCATGACTGCAGCATGGCTCGTCTGATGAACACACGCATGTACACACACACACGCACGTAAACACAGATGGAAACATGAGATGAGATGATGTGAAGTTTAAAAACATGTAAATAAACACCAGAAGATGACTTTATGATAACATTTTGTACTGAAAACTCCAACTTTAAACGCAGAAATATTTTCTAGTTTTTAATCCCAAGGACCAAGTCCCTTGTTTATCGCGGGGGATCCGTACCCTGAAGACCCACGATGAGTGATAAACCGCGAAGTAGGAATAGTGGTACAAGTAGTAAGCAATAGTTTATATATATATATATATAAAGGTGTTTTAAACCCTTCCCACACTCTTGCAATATTCTAAAAAGTGTTTTTAAACTCTAAACGCTCTAAGAGCACAGAACGTCATGGTTTCAGCTCCCTGCCTCCTCTGCTCTTTGCCACCTGCAAGCGCTCTTGGCCACGCCCACTTCTCCGCTCTGCACGGTGAACAGCTGATCAACTGCAGCAGGAAGCTTATCCTGCAGTGTGGGCTGCACAAAGGTGCAGCAGGCGCTAAATAATTTTAAATAATTCATTTTAAATAAAAATTCCATGCCGATCGTGCGGCTCATTCATCAATCATCCAATTGTGTGTCATGTCGTCTTATTTAGAAAAAACGCGATAGAGCAAGTCTGCGATAACCGAAATGCGAAGTATGTAGGGACTATTGCATATTCTTCCAAGCAGCTGGTACTTTAAAGTGATCTTGATCATTTGTTCTCTAGGCTTTCTAAAGTTGTTTTCTTTGGATTTTGGCTGCTTTTCACTTAGTTTCAGTCCTTGTCTTTGAACGTTTTCAGGGCTTGTAAAGGTTTATTACCCCAAGGAATGAAAAAAGGATGAAATATAGCAAGTTTTTTTTTTTTTTAGGGAATTAATAAAATATTTTATTTCTGTTCTATGCAGAAAGCAATGGCAAATGTCCTGTTGACTTAAAGTTTAAACAAAGGTAGTTGGATTTAAAATGCTGACTTTGAATGAAATTATAAAGGAAGAGTGAGGGTTGGATTAGGAATTTAGCACAATGCTGTCAGTATTTTAACATCTAGAACTCTCAAAACTTACAGCTTTTTAGCAAAAAGAATCTGTATAATCTGCACTAAGTAAAAATGAGTCAAATTTGATTTTTGTTCATTTTTTTCACTTTTTTAACATGAATGAATATGCGGTCAAATGAAAAGCATGCATGAGAAACAGGAAATGTGGCTCATTTAACTAGAACACAGTCCAAATGGTACCAGAATCAGAACCACCATGTGTCCTGGTTGGTGTGCTGTCTGTTCTAGGAGCATCGTGGGTTACCTTGGCGGCGATAGCTGCCGCGGTGATGTGGGAGGAGCCATGATGGTGGTGGTGGTGGTGGTGGTTGTGCCGCTCCCTCCTCCTGTCCTCCTCCTCCTCGTCCTCTTCCTCACACTGGGTGCCACGCTCCATAGTGTGCGTATTGGCGTTGGTGTTGGCGTGCATATTGGTCAGCAGCGAGGATGGCGAGGGAAGCTGCTCCAGGGCGGCGTGCGCAGACTTGATCCTGACAGCGGCCTCACGCAGCAGGTCGATGGCGTGCGGCAGAGCAGGCAGAATGAACTGGAAACACTCCTGCAGGAAACACCAGCATCTACTTTAGGAGCGTTTTTAACTCATTTAGCAGCAAAAAAACAGACAGTTCTGCTTCTGTATTGTTTCAGAAGATACGGAACAAACATGACGATTAAGTACCTGCGAGCCTTTCTTGCTGCCCGGAAGGTTGATGATCAGAGTTTTACCACGAATACCGCAAACAGGTCTGGAAAACAATAAAAAGGTTAAGGCAAGAAAAGGCATAACGCAAATGGATCGGGTCAAAACCTGACAGTTTTCACCTGGAGAGCATGCCGAGAGGCGTAACGTTGAGTGATCCCATCAGCATGGCCAGAGCCATACCCGGGGCCTCTCGCTCGATCACCTCTCTGGTAGCCTGTAAGATGACCAAAAAGGTGTTAATTTTTTAAAGAAAAATAATGCATTTAGGTCAGTTTGAAACTATAATTTAGATATTGTTCAGCCCATTCAGTGATCCAAATTTATGCAAAGTTCCACAATTGTCCCTCAGTTATTTTACACTCTAAATTTACTAAAACAGCAGCTAGGCTACATCCTATACTGATCATAGCATCAAACAGCTGGCTAACAACTAGGAGACATACTAGACTGGTCCGAATAGACATCTAGCAGGCAGTGAGGCTGCATGTTACATTCTTTCAAACCTTAAGACAACTAATTAGAAGCTAAACTACTTGCTACATTGAAGCAAACATTAAAAAAGAGAAAGAAGATTATTCATAATTTAAAAATAAATAAAAAGTATTCTATTTGGTACTTTGGTCCAAATATTAAATAAATGGCTAGCAGCTAGGCTACATGCTACATTTATCCAAATGTTAAACAGCTAA